CTCCCCTCCCCTCCCCTCCCGTTTCATACTTTTCTCTTCTGTTCTCTTCTGTGCCCCTTGTCTTCTTCTGTTCTCTTCTGTTCCCTTGTCCTCTTTTTTTCTGCTTCTCATGCCCTGTCTTCTTTTCCCTTCTTTTCTCTTCTCTCCTCTCCTCTTCTCTTCTCTTCTCTTCTCTTTTCTTTTCTCTTCTCTTCTTTTTTCTTTTCTTTTTGCTCTTCTCCCAATCATTTACCCATTTTTATTTAATTTGCACCTTTATCAATAATTTTTCTTTTCATTCATTCATTGTAATGAATTAGATGACGAGTTTAGGGTTATGATTGTTTTCTTCATTTGTAAATTCTTGTACACCTGTGCTGTTTTCATTCCTTCCTTTTTTTTAATGGGACCATTCAAGTCTTCATGTAACAGAAAATGCTGTCTATCAAACTGCTTGCAATGACTCCTGAATTATTCCTGCATGATATTAAGACCTTTAGAGTAGTTAAGAAATTATAGTTCAAAGTTGTGGCAAGTTGACCAAAATAGGTCATCCACATTTTACCTAGAATTACAATTGTTGCTTTGATTATCATTTAGGCAGTACTTACATTTTGGTATTAGTTATAACTAATGTGATTGTAATATTGCAATACATTTCCTTATAATCCAATTACTTTTTATACTGTGTTTAACCCCTACAATCCACATGACGTTATGGTCCTGTCATGGAAAAATCAAGGTGAATGTGCCGTCATCAGAAAAAATGGCCACGGGATGGGTGACGCAAACTGGAAAGGCAAATCAAAAGACAAATATGGACATTGGAAAATGGCAAAAAAATTTTTTTTTTCAAATTTACACAAAATAACTTGTCACCACAAATGAGTGTTCGCACTCGCCCGGCCTACCCACTGCACATCTGGGATGTTGACTACTTATGGAACTCACTGCTTGTATTTTTGACACTGTGATTTCCAAGACACAACTGGATCCAACAAGTTAAAAAGCCTGTCAAGTTCTTTTTGGCGCATATCAGTGCACCTGTTTTTTATTTGTTGCCAAACACTATGAAAACAGCTGTAGAAGCTGGTGGATTTAGTAGTTTCTGTTGGCCTTCCAGGTGAATGTACCTTGTCTACTGCTCACACCTTCCCAAGGTCCTCCATTTCAATATTATCTCTAAGATGAGGCTTGACAAGGCAGTGGAGACTAAAAAGCAGTGAGTGGTTGCCAAGGGCAAGTTCACCCAGAAGGCCAACAGTCTCACACAGGCTCACAAGGAAAAGGTATCAACCACAGTGCTGGACAGTATTTATATGGAAGCGTTCATGGCATTTGAAAAAGTAAAAAGAGTAAATGGTAATACCAACCCAAGTTTTAGTGCGAACCAATTATGGATCATCTATGATCAAAGAATGTGATGTTATTTCTGATTACAAGCTTCCCCATTTTTCCCTATTCCTTAGTCTTGTAAATGCATTCTTACATTGAATCTGTATACAGTAACAACCCCCCCCCCCCAATGAGAAGATAATAAATATAAACTATGAGAACCAGGCTTGTCACAACCACCTCCTATTCCTCCAGAGTTCATCACTGGTTTCCTCTCAGAGCTCCACAAAGCTCCTGATGAGAGTGGGCTGGGGAGTGTCACTTCAGAGGTTTACAGCCGCACCCTGGCCAAGTTCCATGGGTGGGTGGTTGCTAAGACTGTCGGTGCAGTACTCCTGATGATGCCCACCAAACACACCATTATAGAAAGGGTATGTTGGTTGTTCGTGAGTTTGTGTGTGTGTGCAGAGGGGGATGTATAACCTTAGATTTGAGAAATTGAATTTCCCCCCCCCCCCTTTAAATATCATAAATGTGTTATATATATATATATATATATATATATTTATGTATGTTTTTTCTTCCCCTAACTTTGAGCTTTACTAAGGTGCTGGAATATGTAGAACTAACAGCTATATAGCTTTTTTGTGTCTGTTGATATGATGAATGTGCTTTATTATGTTTTTGTTCTTGTAATTGCACACCATGATTGTTTTATCCCTTGTCCTTTCCTTTCCTTTTCTTTAGCTGGCGGTTGTAGTAACATACCACCCATCACTATTGAACTTGAATTTAATATGTAATTATTTTACACTGTGTGATATAATGATGAACCTTAATGAGAATCATTGATACTTAATGTATAATAACAACTATGCCTTTCACAAAAAAAAATCCCCAATTTTATGAGTGATTGTTAGCTATCATGATAGTTTGTTGCTAATACACCATCCATTAATGATCTTAATGGATTTTTTTTTCACTTCTTGAATTTTTGTTTCCTCTTGTATAGTCTGTCATTTAATTTTTTTTTGTTAACAAATGCATTTCAATTCATAGGCAGGTAACTAATATCTACAGTGAATATTTAAAGAGTATGTCTATTTTAGAACTCCCAGTTTTTTCTTCTTTCTATTTTTCTTATGAGGTGGTATTTTAAGCCATATAAGGTACTTTTTGGGAATAGGTATATTTTTTTCCTGTTGATCATTGTCAGATGAAGTAAACCACTGTAAATATACAAATATATTATTTTTTTTAAGATGACAGAAAGAGACACAGGAAGGGGGCAGATTAACTTGGATGTTTTCTTTCTTTTATTATTCTTTTGTTTATATATTCATTGAGTCTCCTTTACAACCTTTTCCCTTCTCCTTTTATGATATTTACTTGCTTAGACATCAAATCTCGAACTCCACCTCATTGAAATATAATGTATCAATCCCTAAAAAGCCTTATCAAGATGTTATTACTTTTGTCTCCAGGTATCTCTGGCAAGTAAACAGGTAAGTTGCCATTGATATTATTGCAAAGTTAATTTTTGGTTGATTAGTCTATGGAAGAGATTTTTTATATTATTACTGAGATTAGATTGTTGTTGTTTTTTATCGGACATGTGTTTGAGGTTATTTCTATCACTTTTTGCTGATTAACAGGTAGATTCTTAGGTTAGTATTTTCTGAAAAAAGGCATTTGGAATTGGTCCTACCTTATTTATATTTTGAAAATAACTATATGAAATCTTTATATTATTGAGTTGATTCTTCAATTGTCTTTTACTTTCTTCGTGTGTTTGCATGGATATGACAACCTTTATTTATACTTACATGCACATTAAGAGATAGATAGCAATATATATATATATATATATA